CACTAAATGATTTAAATCCTTTTGTAAATCAGAAGTATCCTCTTCACAGCTAGCAACACCCAAGACCTTACTGAAAATTTAAGTAATTTATTGACCATTCCGTCATCTATGTCATTGATGTAAATCAAAAAGAGCAAAGTTCCTAAGACTGAGCCCTGAGGTACCCCACTTTTGATAATAATCTAGTTTGACTGAACTCCGTTTTATAAGTTGATAAAGTGATTTATCTTCATAAGTATATAAAGTAATAAGAATGATACTCAGTGGTGTATTTTTGACCTTGTGTTTTGTGAGGATTTACTTTTGTTTAAATACTGAATGGTCCAACCCGTATCGTGAGTGTACCCCTACAGATTTGCTGTGCAAACCATTGAGATTTTTAAATCCTGGTTTTTACCATTAGTCGTTTTTGTCAATTGTAGGAGTTCGATCGAAGCCATTTTTATGAACTTTATTGTGTGGAATCGCGTGATAATGACATACATCAATAATTTATCTTTCCATGCTTCAGTAAACTTTTACTTATTAGCTTTACTCATTTAAACACATGAGTCAGATTATTTTTAGAGTTACTTTTAACATTTTACGAACTAAAGCCCTCTTGAAACTTCTGCTTGTCTACTTCCTTAATATTTCATTCTTTAATTGTTTCAGGTCGAATCTTATTGGATATTCTCTGTAAAGTCTGCGAAGACCACTCCTCTGGAAAGCACTATGGAGTCTTTGCTTGTGACGGGTAAGAAGTTAGATAAAACCTCTCGGCTTTCATCAATTAAAAATGGATCCTCGAGGTTTGAGCTGAAAATATATATAAAGTCAGTAATAATGATTAATTTATATCTCAGTGAACTACTGAGATATAAATATATATTCAAGAATTGTTGAATTTAATTTATTTGAGTTACCAACTGATTTCAAACAAAATTATAACATTGACGAGAGAATCACGAAGGTAAATGCAGTGAAACAAAGACGATGTTATGTGATGTACGTTTACTCAGAATCACTAGAATCACAGTGACGTTAGGCGATATGCGTTTACTCAGAATCACTAGAATCACAGTGACGTTAAGCGATATGCGTTTACTCGAAAATCACTAGAATCACAGTGACGTTAAGCGATATGCGTTTACTCGAAAATCACTAGAATCACAGTGACGTTAAGCGATATGCGTTTACTCGAAAATCACTAGAAGCACATTGACGCTAGGCGATATGCGTTTGCTCGCGAATCATTAGAAGCATATTGACGGCAGGCGTTATG